TGGTAGTCGAAGGGTTGGGAAGAAACCTCTAAAACCCTAGGGGTACTATAACACTCGATCTAAGGGCAGAAGAGCAGAACTTACAAAAGTACTCAAGAACAGGAGGAAAACTGACCTCGGAAAGTTGGGTTTGATCGATATCGACTTTCTCTCTCTAGAAGAAACTTGGGCAGAGCTTCGCTTCAATAAAATCGCGCAACGACGAATGGCTCACACCTTGGGTATATATAGGCTCCCAGCCTCGAAGACTGGGCCTCGATTTTGAAAAGGCCATCATTACGGGCCGCCGGTTCAACCAATGGGTAGCACCCGCCCCCCGTCTACCAACGACAAAGCGCCACGTGGAACCCTCTTCCAACGGCTCTATTGCAACGGCTATATTCCCCGAATGATAGCCTCCGGCTATCGCTCTCCGCAGCCTTCGCATAACGAATCCCGTCAGTCGCCTTCGGGCGTGTAGCAACATGACCTTTCGGCTAATCAAGGTTACCACCCCTCGGAGGTTCATCAACACATCATAACTCCTTCAGCCCGACTCGCCTTCGGCCTAAAGGAGTGGGGGACTGGGACACACCCCTCGGGAATCACACATGACCAAAAACAAAAATTCCCACATACAAAAACCTACAAATGACACATGTAGCCCTCGGGTGCGTACACCATTACATCCTTCGGCAAAGCAAGATGTCAGAAATTTCCCAGTCACTGACAATAATGAAACAGCCTTCATCACAACACATACGGATATTATTTACGCTTCCCTCAGAAAACCCCCGACATGTGAGGGACTGAGGAGAGGCTCCGGCATTCATACAAGTGTTATACTTCCTTCAGAAAACCCTCGGCATGTGAGGGACTGAGGGAAGCCTTCGGCAATCAACAGGAGGCGAATTCTCAAGCAAAGGCGCCCAACCAAGGGATGGGGCCTCCGGAAGAATCAACACACCTACTCCTTTCCCCTCAAGTACCTTTCGGCAAAAGGAGTGAGGGACTCCTGATGGAGTATATGGCCCAGGAACCCCCGGCCCATAGACTCCCACTTTCCCTACACAAGTCCATTGAGCCCGGAGAACAACTCAGGCCCGGATACAACGGCCCAAGCCTCAAAGTAGCCCAGGATGCACACTGGGGTGCCTTCGGCCTCCTTGTCCGAAGGCTCCAAAACTCACAGGATAGCCTTCTCCGGCATAAGGAGCTGCTGGAAGAAAACGGGCAAAGACATGAGCCTTCGGCATTCTCATGCCCTCGGCACCAGGGGAAGCCCTCGGCTGAACCAAGCCCTCGGCTACACATCGAGCCTACGGCCATACACGAAGCCCCCGACTACGCAAGGAGCCCTCGGCTACGCGAGGAGCCCTCGGATACACAAGGAGCCTTCGGCTGAACTAGCTCAATCATCGAAGATTCCTTTCGGAGACAGCCAACCACCGCATTTAATGCCACGTCACATCCGCCAACCGCATTCAATGCGGTGAACGTACCACTGCCGGTGCCAACCAGCTGATGTGACCCTTCGGCCGTTGGATTACTGACACGTGTCCCCTCATCGCATTTATTGCTGCTATAAATAGCAGTCCATTTCTCCTTGTAAAGGATCTACACAATCGACATCTCGATTACACACACTGAGTTCATCTAATAAAATCGACTCTCTCTCCTCCTATTTGCTCTGACTTCTCTCTAGTTATTCCCACAATAATCCCTCGGATAAGATACCTCCCGGGTAGACTATCCATCACATTCCAAAGAACTTCATCAAATTCCACTCGAAAAATTGTTAGTTTAGGGCTGAAAAATCAGCCTACTCATACATGTTACAAAGAACTAAAGTTTGGCCTATTTTTTACCCATTTTTTTGGGCCTAGCCCCCCCCCCCCCCCCCGCACCCCCTAGGGCCGCCCCTAAAAAGAGCTAAAAGACGGCTGATCAGCCATTATCCAAACAAGGCCAAAAACATCAAAGAGCTTTTACATAGATTATTTAAAAAAAAACTAATAAATAATGAGTAAAATATATTTTTATTCGCTAAGTAATATATTAAAATTGTGATGTTTGAAAAATACTTCCAATTATGGCAGTATATTATCATATTTAAAGTCTGATAGCGTGACAATAATTTTTAAGTAATACAATACAGTTCTCCTATTTATGGCGAAAGCACAAAACTACATTGTTTTTACTCCTATTAGATCTGATATGAAACATGTTCTCAAGATATGACTATTGGAAAAATGTGTTGAAATTACATTAAATGGTCGATTTGGGGCAATATTTTGAGTGGGGTCCACTTCTGATTTGGGTCGGGTCAAAGTGGTTACAGATTCACCTTGTTAAAGGCTACAATTCATTATGTGGCACACTCAAAACGGATAACGAGTGAATGAGAAACTGATTTTTGAAGTTCACTCGTTGAAATGGAAAAACTGGGAAAATGATGAATTTATAGTGTGATTTATCCCACATTGAAAAACCCAAGTGATTTTTACCCCCATATAGAGGTGATCCTCTTTGAAGGAGTTAAGATTCCTAGGTGGAATGACTCTCTTCACGGGCAGGGGGATGCCGATCAAATCTCGAAAATGGAGAAGAAAAAATCACGACTTGCGTGCGTGGGCGACCTACCAACACAAATGTCATCCGCAAATCTATCTTACAGTGATACGATTTAATTTTTTGTTTCTTCCTGTAACGTTCCTATTCTTTTCCATGCAGCAGCCTTTAATGCGTCTTTAAACGAACACTTTTTCGACATATTAATGCCCAATGTTCTTGTCATTTATATCTATCCAACGTTCAGGTCCATTAAAGTTCAGTTAACACACAACAAATTCGTCCCTATATATACCTGACAGGTGTTTTGCAACAACACACGATACAACACAGTTAGCACATACGTTTTTAGCTAAATTTGCCTCTAGCTCTCTGAAAAATCCTTAGTGTTCTACCTTTGTTTCGGTTTGCTGGAACAATCAAACGATTATTCATTACCCACCGTATCTTAGGAAACTATCACTGCAACGCTCCTTCCACCGTGAAAAGCAGCAGATACGTTTTAAGGAAATTGTGCGTTGCACAAACTTTGGCTATTTTGTCCCTTCTCATTTTTTGTTTTTCTTTGCTATTTTAAATTAATATTAATTAATTAATTTCTTTGTTTTTCCGAACATACCCAACAATGACTAGATTTCCATAAAAACTACTAGTCATATGAAGTATTAGGAAATGTGAGTACTTGTAGAGTTGTAGACTTGTAGATTTGAAGTGCTATCTTGGATAATTATTTCCTTTAAGCTTCAATTTTAAAGTTGTGTTGCTTAAATATTTGAAAAAGTAAACTTGAATATATACTCTAGGACTAATGACTTAATAAGGATGTGATATGGGTTCCATAAAAAAAGGATGTGATATGGGTAGATTTTAAATTTTATTTCTCATCATATACTTTCCGTCTGAATTCCGATGTCCAAATCAACTTCCGAAACTGAGATGACGTTCTTGAATCACAAACTATACCCATTTGTTATTTCTAATATTGAGCTTGGTCATGCTTTGTGAGATGTCAGCACAATATGGATTTATATGAATATGAAATTGAAGATGATGTGAACTTTGGTGTCTAAGCTGTATGTTTAGAGTTTTTATTAAATATAATCTTATATGCACAAAGTTTTCTAATGTACAGCCTCAACAAATTTGATGAGGACCAATAATACCATTAATACGTAGTACTTGGTACTACATCTGACACTTATTCAATTCAATTTTAATTCAGTGTAGTTTTTAAATGAGTACAAATTATGTGGTTGCTATTTTTAATTTTTAAGAAGAGCTGAAGAGACGATCTATATCAACCACATAATTCTAAGTGGAGATATTTAGGAAGAGGCAAATAAAAGAAAAGGGTATACGGAGTACTAGAGATAAAAATATTATGTCTGATCTAGTCTGTTTAACTACAGTAACTATATAATGTATTGTTATCATCACAACTGTTTTGTTGCAAACGAAAAAATATGATCCAACTACTTGTTGATCCAAATATCCAATCCTTCCCGCAAATGTTTTGACTAACGCTAGACATAAGTAGGTGAAAATTGTATGATAATGCTTCTGTACATGTGAGAAAAATAGTACACACTACGTGTTGTTTCTTAAAAGGGCAAGGGACTGGTTTGTTTGGCACCGTCAAATAAAAAAAGTTGATATTGCTGGACAGAGGAGTATTTCAAAACCATCCTTTACTACCAGTCTACCACACTCCATAAAAAAGCATATTATTATGGGGGTGGGGGTGGGGGGGTCTCTTTTCGACGGGCCTTACGTTGATGGTGCGGCTGGGGATTGGTTTTGATCGGAGGTTGGCTGCTTTGCCCGCCGGCGGTGGCTTTCGGGCTGGCGAAGTTATTGGGCTGATGTGACATCCGGTCACATCCTGTCACCCACGTGGCCTTACAGGCTGAAGCTTTGACTGAGGCGCTGATGGATCCATTCCAAGCGATTTGCGGGTAGGGCAACGGCAGTTTGGGCTGAGGCGCTAGATCGTGGGCCTGTGAGGAGGGTGAATTGGATGCGGGCTTTCCGCTGGGTTTGGACCTTGTTTTTGCTGGGCAGAATTGCAGGAAGCTGGGCTTGGCTGCTTTGATTTATTTTCTTGACACTGTTGGGCAGTTTATTGGGCCGCTAGAGCTGATCCCTTTGGAGGATGGGACGTCACTGTTTCGGATTCCTTGGGCTATGCGGATGGCGGGCAGCTTTTGTTGATGTATTTATGATACGAATCGGGGCCTGTCCCGTGCAGTTTCGGCTTTCACCATTACATCTCTTCCCTCTTGCCTCCTCAAGGGGGTGGGTGGGGGCGGGGTTTGAATGGTTGATACTATTTAGTTAGTTTACTAGCTTGTTAGTTTTGATACATTGTACTATGTTATTTTTGGGTGTGCTTAATATATTTACATTTCATCCAAAAAAAAAAAAAAAAAAAAAAAGCATATTATTGTTACCTGTGATTGTAGCAACTTTTTTATTGTTCAGGTTGGCAAAAAGTCCTAATAATGATCAAACAGGAACGGAGTCCTTTAAAAAACGGCAGACTACAGTTTTGGTGGCAGGAATCATCAAAGAGTGGGTGTAGATGGGGGTGCAGCAGTCTTCTTGAAATCAATTTTGTCAACCTTGACTTCTCCATCAATGAGTTCATAGACGTATACCACTACGCGGAGACCATCAATGTCCATCAGAACAAAACTAGGGTTGACATCATAGGTGATGCTACTATGTGCCCCAGTCGCAGAACCAGGGTTGATCACAACTCCGGCCTCGTGTTTGTATGCCTTAAACTGGTGGGTGTGCCCACTCACCAATATGTCCACATCTAGCTGCCTCTGCACCATGGCTAGTGAGTCCAGATCTCCCCATGGAACTACCTTGACAACCACACCACCAACATTACAAACTATTAGACGGCCATATCTATCTTTAGTGCACCACAATAAAATATACCCGATTACATAATAAACTATGTGCTTCTTATGTCACATTCACATTTCTATTCACCACCCTTCACATACCAACCACAATCTGATTTTATAATGCTGGCTTAATTTGATGATAAGTAAAAGATCAAATAGTTCAAAATTTCTTTTGCAGAGACTTTCGCATAGCAAAGTTTGCGTAGTAGAGAATCACTTGGAAAGGAAAGAAAAATGATTACCCACAATTCCTTTTCTTAAAAGAAATGTGGCTTATTCGGAAAAAATGAAGTTTATTGTCAACTTTTTCATGGTGAAATGAGTAGAAAATAAAATGCATAAGTCACATACTCTGGCTGAGATGAGAGCAGAGATAGCACTCCTACCATCTTGGTTTTTCCACACTTACTCTTGCCTTTTACGCAAATAACTAAATAGTTTTTCCACATTCCCTTTTCAGTAAATAAGGACTTGCGATGGGACACAAAATGCTCAATTTTCATGTTTATTTCCTAATTATTCAAATTAACACCAAGTCTACCCTTTTTTAAGTATCCCTATCATAGTATCATGTATCCTTAAAAACATATGTTACCCCTACTTGAAAAACTAATAATATTATAAACACATTTTATTTAATAATATCAATAACCCAGCCTATTCAGCAGTTTAAGCAATACTTTTAACAAATTCAGTCCATTTAACAGTTTCAGTCGTTTAAGTAACTGTGTGAATGATGTATACTCCGTATAAGACAATATGAAGTTTTTTGTAAGACAATTCGATGGATGTGGGGTTTATGTAACTCTGTGAATGATGTAAGTTTAAAAAAGTCAAATAGCATCAGCAACAACCTTCCAAGTTCCAACACTACCCATAGTGCAAGAAAAAACTCAATAAACTTAAACAGATCAAACCTGATGACCATGACAAAAACCAAGTTTGAATTGTCCAATGGTAAGAGTCTTTGTCTCTGGGTACTTAGATTCTTCATCATACTCACCCCTAGTTATATGCAAGCTGGGGCATAAACTCTTTAAGTAATCATGAACTTCCTGCATGCGAGAATTTTCATAATCAAAGCTCAGCAGAGTTCAATCTGCAACAAGAGATCTACTCCTGTCTTTGTCCAAAAAAGATTCCGAATAAACACACTCCAGTCAACAACAATGCAAGGCCTTAGTTAATTAATGCAACTCAGACTGAAAACAAAATGTACAATATGTGAATCACTAATAACATATAACTTCATCTACATGGTACAAAATGAAAAAGGAAAGTAAGTTCTTGTTCCTAAAAGAAGTTAGCACACTTCTGATTAGGATCCTAACTTTTGGTGCTACTGCTATAAATATTACTCCCTCCTACTAAAAAATTACCGTTGTATGCGTGTGTTGTCCCAAAAAAATAGCCCGACTTTTAATTCAGAGTTAACTTCAAAGTAAGATTCATGTAAAACCAGGAGGCAATCAGTCTTAAGGATTAGCTTAAGCAGCACTCTTTAAATAACGTCTTGGTGACAAATGAAAAAAAAATAAGGGTATCTAAAGCAAGAAGCCTTGAGTCTTATTTGAATTGATGATAGGAATAAGGACAATAATACTAATAAGAATAATAGAATAGTACTCCCTCCGTCCCCTTTATATTGTCCCAGTTCCTATTCACTTGGTCAACACAAATCACTCTTAATTTCTTACTTTATATATAAAAAATTTATCAAATTTGATTCAGGTTTTTGCGACTTTGTAAAGCTTTTAATGTAGTTTCTGAATATGTAATTTTTTTTCCTAAAAATAATTTGAGTACGGACAGGGATCCATTTGCTTTAATAATACACTCTTTGAGGTAGTATTAAAGAATGTAATAGTGTATTGGTGAAGGTTCTGGTACATTTCGTAAATCAGGAATAATGCCCCCCCCCCCCCCCCCCCCCCCCCCGTAAAATAGAAGTACTATAAGAGTAGGGAAAGGGAGAAAAAGAGGGGAGGCTGTTTTGGACAGTTAGAATTGAAGCTAGCTGCATCTTCAGATTTGGAACTAGATACAAGTTATGGTATTATTAAGCAGCCTATGGGATATCCACAAGAAGATCCGGAAGAAAACATGACACACCAAGAAAAGAAGATAGATGACAGTGGAAGGTGTAGTCTTGCTGCCTTGAGGTTCCAACTGGTGAGAACAGTTTATATGCATTTGCAGCAAGCCCTGAGAATTTTCCAGACTTTATATTTTTCCTTGATATTGCAATTAGAAAGTCAATTTTAAGGACTGAAATTAATCAGGTGCAAGAGAGTTTAATTGGGACAGTTGCATGCAAATAGAAGTGTGGTTTATTTGTTTCTTTTGCTGTTGTACATCGGGATGGAAAATGTCCAAGTACCCTTGTTTCAACTACCAACTTGTGGGTTGGCCCTTTGACAGGAGAGCATGAACTGAACTTTCATAAATCAGGTTTATTTAGTGAAGGATCTGTCTCACCAATCTCACAAACCTTCTCTGAAATTCACGAATAATTGTTGCCAGTAAAAGCCACAATGCTATTCTCAAACATGGTGATGTAGCAGCTGAAGCTACTACAGGGGCAGATGGATTTTAACTTGCAGGACCTGTATCTGATGATATTGATTACAATGTAGAGGCTTCAAAGTCTGGTTATCATGTAAAGCAGGTAGGACCTCATTCATTTTCTTGTCAGAAACTTGGTCAAAGGTGGACATGCAATTATTCTAAGGAAGATACAAGAGAGCCTTTTCCATCAGGTGACTCAGGTTTTTGGTCATTGAGCAGTGGAGATGGTGATAGGAACAATGCAGAAATAGGTGAAAGAAGTATGATCTTTGACAACGTAATTCCAGGGAGTTTTATCTCCAGCATCTGCTCCTGGTTGCGGTGAAAGAAGTGATGATGAAGTTAGAGGAAGTTCTGAAGCTCATGGTGCCACAATTAGGGAAGTATTGGGAAGGTAGAGGTGCGAGGATGAAGATGAAGTTGAAGATCAAGGCTCTTTCCTATCACCCACCTTGAGGACAATGTGGATTTTCAAGGGGGAGTATTGATAGGAATAAGGACAATAATACTAATAAGAATAATAGAATAGTACTACGTATTAAAGAGTGTAATAGTGTATAAGTGAAGGTTCTGGGCCATTTAGTAAATCAGGAATAATGGGCCAGCCCTTAAAAAATAGAAGTACTATAAGAGTAGGGAAAGGGAGAAGAAGAGGGGAGGCTGTTTTGGACAGTTAGAATTGAGTCTTGGACGGCCCTGACACTCTTGAATTTGCCAGAACTGTACCCTGTACATTTCTTCTGTGAATATTGAATAAACATTCAGTTTTCTTGATTGTGTTGTTAGCTAAAAAATCTAGAATTGTTAGTTTCTATCAGTTGACTAATGTAAAAGGTAGTACCCTTACTCGTTTTTTGGGAAGGTAGAAGTACATTGACCTTTCAGCATGCTTTAGTGGGAAATCAAGAAAGATCTTACCACAGCCAATCAAATCAGCATAGATTAAAGACCCATTAGTCCATTACCTAGTGTGTTCAATGTGTATGATAATGCAGAGGATCACATTAATGTTTCGTGTAGCAGATCTTAGTGTAGATTTACATACTAAATGTAAAGTATAGACAATAGGACGAATCTTTGTCAATCCTTATATTTGGCCATATGAAGGTTTTTCTGAATGCAGTCTATGAAAAATATAGCTTCCAAACTTCCAATTCAATAATTAATCTGTAGATAAATAGTCAAATGCCGACTATGTTTTCAAATTTAAAACTTCAAAATTTGCTAGGAAACTTAAACAGCTGTTGCAGCATCCATAGCCTTGCCAGCAATCTATTTTTTTTAACCCGGCAGGCAAACCACCGCAATCTATTTTCTAAATAGAGATGTTCTTATTTGTTTAGTCATAGTTTACTTTCCGGCTCAAATTAAGTATATAAATGTCATAACGTGTGAATACATATGCCGATTTTTTCTGAATAAATCCCTAATAGTTATAGCCTCAGTTATACATTGCCTAACAAATTCCATTATTTCTTAACAGTAGATGATGCAGAGATGATACTCCATTCATAATGTCAAAATTAATTTGTTTTCACTTGAATATAATGCCACTACACAAAAGGCACCCATATACCCTAATAGATACATATGGCAGTTGATCCCCCGAAAGAGGCAAAGATGGTCGACTGATGTTCAAATTCGGCCAGGTCCAGAACTGATCACTTCTTCTCTAATAACAATTAAACAGTTGCAAACAAGATTGAATTTAAAAAATTGATAAAAATAGAAATGCGCGGAATGTACTTTGATGCAGAGATTTCCAGTACAGATTATGTGCTGAATCTTTCCTGGGACGAGCATCGACTTGAACTTCGCCGGAAGATCAGCGGCTCTGTGAGGTATGTGCAGATCTCCGATCGCTAGAACCAACACCATTCTAGACTTCTAGTTTTTAATCCTCTCCACTCAATCTACAAATGTGTAGTTTTGATACCCCGAAACTCGATATCTCGAAAGCGGATTGGTACAAACCCGGCGAAGTAATTCCAATTTCGAGGTGATTCGATCTACTAAAAAAGAAAGTATGAACGGAGTTGTATTTTCTTTAGTCGATGTGGATCGGGGAAACTACTAACTACTACGTAATAACCATTTTTCGAGGGGAAAAACTACTAACGACAATCGCGACGCCGAATCGCCGAGGTACATACCAAATAAATCAATATAAAAATAAATAAAATTCATTATTTATTTTTTTACATTTTGCTGTTAACAAAAAAAACTGAATTTAGTTGGGGGTTTATGTCGTCCAACAATTATTATTTGCCCTATTATTATGTATGTTGTCCACGCTTTCCATTCTTAACATGAGCTTCAAAAACTATGTCTCTGATTTGTATGAAAGAACAACTTTACACTTTCTCTATCTTAAAATATTCGGTTTAAATGGATTACAATTGTTGTGGGTAATTTTAATATTTAAAACCCGACAATTTTAAAAAAGTCTGTGTTATGCATTCAACTTATAACTGCGTCTCTCTCTCTCTAGGGTTCGGCTCTGCCGTCTCTAGTGTAGCTTTGGCCTTTTCCCGATTCGCTTCGCCTCAGCCGCAGTAGTAAGGCAGGGACGAGGAGAGGAGGTGGGTGCTGGTGGCGTGCTCGGTTGCTTTCGAGGATTCGGGTGCAGCAGTTGGCTTCGTTCGGCGTCTGCGTTGATTGAGGCTTTGTCCGACAGACAGGTAGGGGGGAGACTTGCTTTTGATTCTCTAAATTTATGGAGGAGGTGTTGGAACAATACAAAAGAATGGCTTTGGAAGAAGATAACAACAATCTCAATTTTGATGATGAGGAGGAGGATGTTCTTGCTCCAACCGCAAAAGGTCGGAGTTCCCGCTGGTGGGTGTAATTCTTACAGATCGGAAAGTCAGAACTCAGGCTGTGTAGGATCTGTTTGCCTCAATCTGTAGGCCAGGAAAAGGAATGTCAACCCAAGAAATAGATGACACGAGGTGTTTATTCACTTTTTATCATTTAGTTGATATGAATCGTGTTCTCGAGGATGATCCTTGGCTGTTTGAGAGGAATTTGTTACTGCTTAAGGCGGTTGGTCCTAATGATATCCCACATAAAATGAAATTGGTTGAAGCAGAGTTTTGGGTACAAATGCACAATGTTCCATATAAATTTATGAATGTATGCGCGCACTACTAGAAGAGTGGGGAATTATATTGGGGAATTTATTAGTTTTGATGAGAGTCATTTCAAGGAAAAATGGAATTCTTACTGGAGGGTTAGGGTGAAGATGGATGTGACAAAAACCCTAAAGAAGGGATCTACTTTGTCAAAGGGGGGTGAGGGACACTGGGTAGATTTTAAGTATGAGAAGTTACCTAATTTCTGTTTCATTTGTGGGATAATGGGACACTCTGAGAAATTCTGCCCGTTGAAATATGTGAAAGATATTGCCCTGGAAAAAACCTTTAGTGTTGAACTTAGAGCAGGGGGGACTAGCCCCACAAGGGGTAATAAGTGGTTGGTGGAAAAACAGGTAGGTCCAAGTCAACAGAGGAGGGTTTATCAAGAAGATGAACGCATGATGAGACAGGGGCGCAAGGGGACTACAGTCGAGACAGAGAATTGTGGTACACAGGAAGATGGTAGAAGCAGTGTAGGGGAGGTATCGGTTGATCAGAAGCGCAGGAGAGTCTGGGAGGATCCAACACAGGAAGACATAGCAGGAGAGAAGATGGCACTGGACAAAGCAAAAAAACGGGGAGGAGGCGGGTCTGAGCTCTTAGACCCGCCTGTCGCGTGCGTGAGGCTGCTGTTGAAGAATTTTCATTTTGGTAATTATTTTATTGTTATTTTGCATTTTAGTTTCCACGTTAAGACAATTACTTTTGGTTTTTGTTATGGTTGGATTTGTAAGACTCTTGCATTAGGATTGAGTGATGAGAGTTCTGCGGTAACCATCGTTGGCTCAATTATGCCCAGTTTAGGATCAGCGAGTTATATTTCTTTTTCAAAGGTGATTAACTCAGAGTCTGGTTCAAGGGTGGATGGTTATTGGTAGTGCTTTTGTTATTTTAGACCCTTTCTGAATGCTTTAATTTTAATATAAGCCCCTTCTTCCAAAAAAAAAAAACAATTTTACACTATCCTCCAAATATTGTAAAAGCCAACAATTTTACTAGTATTTAAAAAAATCTACTTTATAAAAATTAGTATGAATATTTTCACGATTTTATTAGTATGAACATTTATTTTATTTTATTTTATATGGAGTAGAATTTAAAAACATTTAACAAAATAGTCACATTTAAAATATTTATACTAAAAACAAATGGATTTATATGTGTGTGCTCGTGTAAATGTACATGTGTTATAATGATAGTGGTAGTACTTTTTTTTTTTTTTTTTAAACGAAAAGGATGGATGTTTTATTAAAATAATAAAATGGTACAAGTACAAATGCTACAAAGATTAAGAGAGAGGAAAAATTTGATAGTGGTAGTACTTATATAAAAGATAAAAGAAATACATTTAAGTTAAATATATATACTTTTAAATTCATATCCTTATTAGTCATTTTACATCTGCACAACTTATCGCAAACATCTAAGTTACTAAACATTTTACTTCAAAGCGCTAATGAAAACGGTTGGTTAAAACATCGAACATAATCAGTTAGTATTAATATGCTAATTCAACTGGCTATCAGCTAGCAATCAACCGTTGATGGTCAATGCAAAACACCCTCATTGACATTTGTAGACATCCACTCTTCATGATAAAATTACAGTAGAGAAACTAAAAATGTCAATTCCACAATATTTAGGAGACTAAATGTCGAGAATTCTAAAACCGCGGACTAAAAATGTCTGACTGACAATTTGTCGTTAGAGCTTTGTTTTCTTACCAATTTGTTTCTAGAAGTTCTTTTTACCAATTTGTTTCCGAAAACCCAACACAAACTTTGGATATTTGGGACGATGGGTCAAGCGTAAAAAGGTGCATGAAATATAAAATGTGAATAAGATGCACTCAAAAGCCCGCTTGTATTAGGGTAATACGCTGATTACACAAAAGAGGCCGAACAACGCTCTGAAACAGTGACTAATACAAGAGTAAGAGAGAGATAATCTAAGGCTCTGAGTATCAAAATGCTAACCCCCTACAATGAAGTAAATGCTCCTATTTATTCTAGGAAAGGGGGTAGGTGAGGTGACGATGTGGCCGAATCCGATTGGCTGTTGCCTTTGCCACTTGAGCACCCATGCCTCCACTTGCTACCGTCATACTCTAGCATTAAATGCAGCTTGCCACTTGTGGACTCCCCGATCGATCTCTGGCTCATGGATAGAGCTGATGTCTGTTATTTGTTCTATGTAGGATAATTGGGCCATTCAGGTTGTACCGAATGGTGTCCTTCCTTTGGTGGCCGATTGCCTGTTCGGGCTTCCTTGAGTCTGGACCAAGTTCCCCTTTGGGCTGGTTCTCAACCTTGGACCCTTACCTATTCTGGGCCGGGTATTGGGGCAAAGCCCCATAACCCAACACTACATTTGTTGCTTAAAACATTGCCATTTTTTCTTTTCACGTCAATGATCGTAAAATTTGAACCATAATTTTCAACAAGTAATAAAAAAGTTATGGAAAAAATTTGACTTAATAACGTAACTTTTAGTAACTATAAAAGTTATTATTTAAGGTTTATTAAGAACCCGAAACCTAGACGGGAGTTCAACAGACGCAATAGGCGCTGCCACTTAGGGTTTAGGTGGACAACTCCGCCATGGAGATGAAGACTGTGGCGATCGATATTTCGTCAGTCAAAGAGGAGGAGGAGGACTGCATTGTCCTCGATTCACATCCTGTCTCTAGGGTTTCACCACCGCTAGAGTTTTATATATTTGTCCGCTATCGTCTTTTGGCGAGGAGCGGTGCCGTCTTCTGGCAATTCGTTCGTGGATAGGGAGATTCGACTGGAGGCGCCTCAAGGGCCGATTAAGGCAATGAAGGAAGAAGATGAAGTGAAGGCAGTCTGACCCCCTCTTGAACCGCCGTCGGGGGTTCTTGGAAGGTTGAGTGAAGAAATTTATTTTTTTTGCTTTTATTTATGTTAATGGTCTGAATTTGTCTGTGTTTGTATGTTGTTTTATCTCTTTCAATTGTAAGATTGTGGTTTTGGATTTGGATGTGAGTGATGGAATGATTGTGGTAACCGTCTTTGGCTCATTTGTGCCCATTAATGGATCAACGAGTTATATTGTTGTGGAGATAAACTCTGAGTCTGGTTCGAGGGACGCGGTTGTTAGGAGTTGTTTTGTCGGATTACCTACTATCTGAATGATGTGTCATCTATGTCCCCTTTCATCCAAAAAAATAAAAGTTATTATTTAGAATACCAATCATTTATTTTTTAGAACACCATTTAGAATAGCAATTAGTAACTTTTTAGTTACTAATTAGGATACCAGTTAGTAACGTAAATTAATTAAAAAAACTATTAGAACAATCAACCGACTTCTATGATAATGGAGTGCATTCACAAAAAGTTCAAAGAATACAAACTTCAACACAATTTCATCAAAAGAATAAATAGTGATTGATGACGGCTCTATCTGATAAATACATGTAACTTGAGGCGTCACTATTACATTTTTAATGACGACGGCTCTATCTGATAAATACATGTAATTTGAGGTGTCACTATTACATTTTTATGTTTAGTTTAATGATTTAGTTTGACCTTATTATTCATTTATTTAGGTTTCTCATTTTCATAAACAATTTCTTTTAATATTCGTTACTTATAATTTATTTTGTCTCCATTAGAGTTATCATCTTCAACAATTATCCTATTCAAAATGTACAAATTGATAATTTAGAAAATAATTTTATGACCTGTTATATTCGTGCAACGCACGGGTAGGTCGACTAGTGCACATAGAGGGAGATGAGAACTCGTAAGGAGAATTAGGGAGTGTTTTCCGTTACTTAAAAAAGTGTTTTTCATCTTTTAGCTTAAAAAAAAGCTAAAATTAAAAGAGTGTTTTCAAACACCAACTTCTACTTAAATTAATCACTTTAAAGCCAAAAGCTCGAAGCTGGGAAGTTGGTGCTTTTATCGGCTTCTAGGTATTTTGCTAATAATCACTTTTTCTAAAATAACTTATTTTAAGTTGAAGCAATGACACA